ATTCTCCTGCCTCAGCCTCTTGAGTAGCTGGGATTACGGGCGTGTGCCTCCACGCCCGGCTAATTTTGTATGTTTAGTAGAGACAGGGTTCCTCCATGTTGGTCAGGCTGGTTTCGAACTCCTGACCTCAGGTGATCCACCCACCTCAGCCTCCCAAAGTGCTAGGATTACAGGCATGAGCCACCGCGCCCAGCCAAGGCTCAGTCTTAATCACCCCAATTTTACAGATTTGGAAACAGAGGCTCTGAGAGGTCAAGTGTGTTTTGGGGGACTGCTTGGGCCAATGTTGAGGGGGACCCTTTCTCCTTCCCAATCTCGCTCTGTTGCCCAGGCTGGAGTGCAGTGGCGTGATCTCAGTTCACTGAAACCTCCATCTCCCGGGCTGAAGTGATTCTCCTGCCTCAGCATCCTGAGTAGCTGGGACCACAGGTGCAGACCACCACACCTGGTCAATTTTTTTCTATTTTTGATAGAGACAGGGTTTCACCATATTGCCCCAGCTGTCTCAAACTCCTGACCTCAAGTGATCTGGCTGCCTCGGCCTTCCAAAGTTTTGGGATTACATGCATGAGCCACCGCGCCCAGCCAAGTGTTTTGTTTTCATAGTAAGGCAGGAAGTGTAAGGTTCAGAACTCCAAGTGGCAGGTGCAGCAAAAAGAGTGATTCAACCTCACTCCTTTTACTTTCTATTTGAGAGGGTTAAGGCATAAGTAGATATCTCCCATGCAGTCTCTCAGCCCTTAGAGCCTGTGAACTTCACTGTCTGAGTGGAACAGGAGACTATGTCTTGCCTAGGAAGGGCGGGCACAAAAGAAGTTGTCCTGTGGGAGGGAGGCGTGTGTCTTCCTTCCATTCTGAGGTGATGCACGGGGCTGACACCCACAGGCACCACTTCCCTTTCTGCTCTGGGCTCCTGTCATTGTTTTTTTGAGACAAAGTCTCACTCTGTCGCCAGGCTGGAGTGCAGCAGTTCGATCTCGCCTCACAACCTCCAACTCCCTGGTTTAAGCGATTCTCCTGCCTCAGCCTCCTGAGTAGCTGGGATTACAGGCGCACGCCACCACTCCCAGCTAATTTTTGTATTTTTAGTAGACAGGGTTTCACCATGTTGGCCAGGAGGGTCTCAATCTCCTGACCTCGAGATCTGCCTGCCTTGGCCGGCTCCTGTCCCCTCTAACAGAAATAGCATAAAGCATCCAGCAAGAAAAGTGCACAAAATATCACAGAAAAGATAGGGACTGCCAGCTCATTTCCCACCTCCCCTTGTAACTGCCATAAATTCCTCCCTAAATAGTGAAAGCCTTTTTTTTTGCAGTAACTTGTGTTTCTGGCCATGGGTTTTCAAATCCATGTCTTTTTCTCAATGGAGGAGGGTTCCCTCCCTGGCACAGGGCCAAGGGGCACGGGCCAGCAAGGCTGTGTTTTTCCACAGGGCCCAGCACACTCACTGAGGTCCCAGCACAGGTCTTGGGGTCTTGTCTGCGTCTCCCCTCCCTTCCTGTCCATGGGTGCTGCCTCCACACCTCAAGGCCTCTCTTAATGTGCTTCACAGATGGATGCCTGGTCCCATGTGGGCTGTGGCCCAAAGGCCCTTCTTGCTGCTAGGGTGCTCTCTTCAGGAGTGGCAGTGACACTCTAGTTTGTCAAGCAGACACATTTATGACAAGTGCACAAACTGGGTTTTGGGTTTTTTGAGACAGGGTCTCCGCTCTGTTGCCCAGGCTGGAGTGCGGTGGCACAATCTCAGCTCTCTGTAGCCTAGACCTCCCAGGCTCAAGCGATCCTCCCACCTTGGCCTCCCAACTAGCCAGGACTACAGGGGCACACCACCACGCCTGGCTGATTTTTGTAGAGACAGGATTTCACCATGTTGCCCAGGCTGGTCTCAAACTCTTGGGCTCAAGTGATCCACCCTCTTTGGCCTTCCAAAGCGCTGGGATGGCAGGTGCGAGCTGCCACGCCTGGCCATGCTGGGTTTTTAGAAATGAAAACTGTGCTTCCCCAGTGGAACCCTGATCTCTCCAGGGTGTGTTTTTAAAATTTGAAATATATATATTTTTTAGTTTCTCTGTCCCATTTTCCAAGCTGTCTGCTTATAAGAACCAGAGAGAATGCTGGCAAGCTTGTCCGATCCCTGCTATATAGCACAGTGAAATAAACTGAGCCCAGAGCCAAGAGCCCAGAGAGAGGCCTCGCCCAAAGTCACACAACCAACAACCACAGCTCCCCCTCAAGGGGAAGAGGATGGGGAGGGAAGGCTATGTAAGCAGGTGTCTGGAAGCTCAGAAGCTAGCACTGGTCCCTTTCCCGTGGGGGTGGCACAGGAAGATTGGCAAGCCCCAGCTGCACAGGGCTTGGCCCCTCACTTCCTAGCTGCACAACTTTGAACAAGTCCCCCAACCCTCCTGAGCCATCAGTAAACTGGGTGAATAATTTCCACCCTGGCCGACTTCACAAGCAATCCAGGCCAGAATGGGAATGAAATAGCTTTGTAAAGGTGAGGGTGAGGACGTGAATATCAAATCTTTAGTGAAGATGAGCCAGCTCAGGAGTGGAGATCAACACTTGTGTCCATGGTTAGCTGCACAAAGGCCTGTCTCCCCTGCAGGCGCCAGGAGCGACAACGCTTTGCTGAGTACCAAGCGGAGCTGCAAGGCATCCAGCACAGGGTGCAGGCCCGGCCCTTCCTGTTCCAGCAGGCCATGCAGGTGAGGCTGCCCCCTGTGAAGAACTGGCTGAGTGGGTCAGGGAAGCAGGATGCGAGTAGGTCCCTGCAGATAGGATCCCAGGGCTGCTGCCCTCTGGAATCCCTGGGACTCCCTCAGTAAGCAGAGCCCCACCTTGCTCTTGGCAGCCCTGGTGCAGAGCGAGAAGCCCTCTTCTCTCTCCTCAGGCCAATGCCCGGCTCACTGTCACTCGGCGCTTCTCCCAGGTGCTGTCAGCACTGGGGCTGGATGAAGAGCAGCTGCTCTCCGAGGCAGGAAAGGTGGACAGAGAAGGCACCCCCAGGAAACCCAGGTGAGTCTCCCCGGCAGGTCAAGAACTGGCCCTGCCATGCTGCTGTGGGAAGGGCGCCCACACCAGCACTCTGGGCTCTGGAGGGCCTCCCCCAGGACTGGCAGAGAGCCCAGAGGAAGGCAAGGCCAGGGTTGTCATTCCTACTTCTCAACGAGGAAACTAAGGACCTGAGGGGCAGGGCCATGTTTAAGGACACAGGAGCGAACAAGCAGCAGAGCCAGTCTGGGACTCTGCAACCACATGAGCAGCCACACACCAAGCTCTCATTAGGGGCTGGCACCACCATGCTGGTCACCCCATGTCTTAGAATAACCTGGTACAGAGCAGGGATTATGAGGCCCACTTGGCAATAAGGAGAGTGAGACTCGAGAAGAGTCACTTTGCTCAGGATCACACAGCAAGCCAGTACAGGAGCAGGGTTTGAAGCCACATTGTCAGTGGTTTCCTTGGGCATGGGGGTGAGAACTGCAGAGCCAGGGGCCTCTATCTGTGTCTTGAAGGAGCCACAGGTCAATGGGGGTGAGAATGGAGCACTCTCCTCAGAGGCCCCCAAGGACAGAACCCACCGGCAGCCAGCCTGACAGGCACCACAAGCCCAGCCTGGACCCCGAGTGCAGTTTCTGAGATAAAATTAAAGGCTTTATGGTAAACACAGTGTGGGATTTCTGCTGGTGGGGGTGGTGGAGGCTACAGGTTGGAAGCGGGAGGTGGCAGGTGGGTTGGCAGCAGGCTTAGCTCTGTCCCCACACCCCCTCCCCTCCAGGAACTCTGGCTCTTTTGGTTTCCTCCACCCAGCACACACAGCCCCTTCTCTGCTCCTGAGGAGTGGGGACATCTCAAAGAGCAAGAGCTGTAACTTCTCCACCCCATCTTCAATGTATATGTTGGGTCCTATAAATTCAAGCGTGAATAAGACGGAATGACTCCTGCCTCTGAGGACGCCCAGTGAGTGGGAGAGGGCGTGGGCCCTTAAACGGGTACATACATATCCCAACCCACGCTCACATCCCAACACACGCTTATATCCTAACACATACTCATATCCCAACACACGCTCACA